TTTGGCGATCACTCGTAGCTGAGTAAGATTGTCTTTCATGAACACATTCTTAACAGTGAGTTTGTAAGTGACTCTGGAGGCCAATTCTGGACCCACACGTCCTTCCACAGTGGGGAGATTGGTTTCCGGGTGGGAGTTGATCACGGTGTGGATTTGCCAAGCGTGCCTTCCTCCTAGCATGTTTCTCCCTTGCGTCCTGAGTTCAAGTGTCTTCAAAGCCCATGACACCTTTGGTATAGGCTGTTCTCCAACTGGAGCGCTCGCAGGCTAGTGTTTCCCAGTTGTCAGTGTTTAAACTACATTTTTTAAGATTTGCCTTGAGACAGTCTTTAAACCTCTTTTGTGGACCACCAGCATTACTCTTTCCATTTTTAAGGTCACAATGGAGTAGTTGCTTTGGAAGATGATCATCAGGCATTGGCACAACATGACCAGTCCAACGAAGCTGATTTTGAAGAATACGAAATACGAAGCGTGGCACAACAGAGTGAGGTTGACTGCTTTGGAAGCATCTGTTGCTCAGGCCCACTTATGTGTCACCACATCAAATATAGGGCTGGCTTAGTATAATATTCAAAGTAGCACAATTTGAAGATGTGGCTATGCTATTTTAGGATTGGTCCATGTTGTAGCCCAGCACACGTGGCAAAGAACTGTGTCTTGGCTTACATGCTCACCTTTGCCATTGGACGGAAAGGCATCATTTATGTAGAATTTAATGTGTGTATGAAGCAATTGTATGTTTGATCATTCTGTAACAAAATGAGGAAGATAGACCATGTGGGCAAAACTTAGGTTGAACATATAAATTCCATTGCATGTGGTGGTGGGTGGGTGTGCATGTGTGAGGCCAAGAAGACCCCTGACATGTAGAAGGTTCACAATCAACTCCCCACCTCATAATATTTTTATTGTTTTTTCATATATCCAAAACAGTACAAACAAACTCAATTAACTTCTGAGCTGGCCCAAATTTGCACTTGGATAAGTGTTTGTCTGAAAATGCCCCCACTTGGTTATGATGTACTGTTACTATATCAGAGGGAAGTGCATTTTACTATACCCCCTGAGATGTCACATCCCACAGTATTTACAGTTGTACCTTGGAAGTTGAACAGAATCTGTTCTGGAAGTCCATTCAACTTCAAGATGTTCAAAAACCAAATTGCGGCTTCTCATTGGCTGCAGGAAGTATTTCAGGCAATAACTCTGCACATGACACTGAGGTGTACTTCTACATGACAACTTTCCTTCTTCGGTCAGAATTGCACTTATGAGCCTCTTATAAAATGCCAGCTGAAATTAACAAAGTCTTTAACTTAAAGGCTCATAATACAAATGCCCCTGAAAGCTCATGTTGCTTCACTTGAATTGAGGCAGGGGTTACAGTCCTGAAAGTTCTTTTCTGGATTGCATTGTAATTTGAAGCACGGAAGAACCCATTCATTTCCCCAAAGCTACGTAGTGGGGTCCCTGCAATGGACACAGCCATCCTCAGTGCTTTTTAAAGGTGCCAATACACACCATGAAGTTGTTACAGTAAGTGTCACACTTGGGGTGCCGGTACTGCATACCATTGAGTACCATCGGGGGGGGGGGGGAAGCACTGGTCTAGATGAGAACTAGGTTTCCTAATGTCAGCAGCACAGTCTGGTGATGCTGTTGTTGCAGCATTCAGACACTAGAGGGAGAACAGAAAGCCCAAAGGAGAAAGGCAAAACCCACTTGGCCACTGCTGCTCCACCCAGAAGTACATTTAGAGAAAAGGAAGGATAGTGGAGCGGTATTTTAAGGTTGGAGGGTGCATGGAGCTAATGCTGAAGTAATCGGAGGTGACATCACTGGGCGTGACACAGGCTTTCCAAATCTGGGGTGGGCTCAGGAAAAAGGTTGACATGAATTCTGTTCTGTCAGACCTCCAGGTATAGGATGGTATATAAATTCAATAAATAAAAATAAATACAATGATTTGTAAAATAACATCCAACATAAATGATGCAGGTTACAATTACATTTTTTATGCACACTTTACAAACTACAGTGGTTTGGAAAATACACAAATCCAAAATTATTGTACAGGATTTAATATTCTTACACACACACTTCACACCCATGCTTCATTCTACACCATAAATTTATATGGACTTCTACGGCTGCTTTGAAAGGAATGTAGAATTCCACACTGGGTTCTGCCCCCTTAATCTGCCTTTGCCTCATGTAGCAAGGTGTTGCTCACCAAGAAAGTATTCTGTGCTACCTGGAAAAATTCTAGTGCAATTTTAGCCAACTCCAAGATGGTTGAATGCTTTTTAAAACACCAGCAGGCCTGAACATGGCACACCATCACACCATCACTGCTCGCAAGTAACAAAATACCGTATTTTTCGCTCTATAACATGCACCCGACCATAACACACACGTAGTTTTTAGAGGAGGAAAATCCGTAGGCATGCCACCCATAGGCATTCCCTCCATAACACGCACAGACATTTCCCCTTACTTTTTAGGAGGAAAAAAGTGAGTGTTATAGTGCAAAAAATATGGTATTTGGGGACCTGAATGCAGGAGCTTCTTTAGATGCAATTTTTCTTTGAATTGCAGCTCCTCACACAACCCCAGTATGCTGTGGGGCAAACTATTTTCGAAAGCCTCACTTGTAATGTGGGGATAAAGGAAGGTTTAATTATGCGCTGGTTATTATTATTATTTTATAAGACAGATGCCCTGCTAGATGAATAGGGTTTTGACCTGCAAATAACTATGGCAAACATAGCTGAAAGTCCTATATATACAGCTCCGGGCCTTTTGTCTGATGGTGTGCAGAAATCACTGTATGCTTCATTTAGATCTCAGGCACAACACGTTTTCTTTTAAATGTTTGCAATAACATGTCAAAACCAGATCTTGTGAATGGCAATGCAGCCTCACAATTGTCCTTTGCTGGGAACTGTCATATTAATAAATAAAACGAAGCCTTACAAAGCAGAGTCACAAGCACCCACTAACAAGGTGTGGGGAAAACTCACATGAATTAAGACGCAGCTTTTTTGGCACAGGATTTAGCCCATTATTATATAATGCAGAATTCACTTGTAATTTGGCAGTGACTAGAAGGGCACATGCTCATAGAAAAAGCAGTGCGAGGCCTGTGAACTGGCACCTCACAGATGTGGTAAACTATATTATTGATAAGCCTTCTCTGTTGATCTTTCTTTTAAAAAAGAAACTCATAACTGTGACGTATTCTCTGTGTCCCCTTACCCAGCGCCACAAAAATTCCACTCTTGAAATCAAAATTGAATCTAGTTCAGTAACTTTAAAAGCAAGGCTTCCAGGGAGAAGCGTAAAAACTCTTGAGAAACAGATGCACGTAATATATGTTGTGGCTCAGTCTTAGTGCTGTGTGTTGTGCAGTAAACTGGGCTTTTCCCCCATATAAAGTGCAGTTGTCAGGTGTGTACCACTGTGACCTCATTGAAAATATGCTCAGTGTTTAGTTTAGATAACTAAAAAGGTGATGGGGTGGAAGGTTTGGTACATTGGGCAAAATTACAGTACATAAATGAGGCATGCCAGATTTCTCATCCTATGACATGAAAAGGACAACAGGTTGGGAGAAGTAACACAGAGGGCAGACATCACCAAACTAAATGCTTCATCGAAAGGATGCCATTTTGTCCTAGCTACAATCAAATAGTAAGGCAGGGACGAAGTGAGCCAAAAGAAAAGATACTAGGTCAACATTCAATTGGAAACCAGCACCTGCAGAAAAATCCCTAAATTGCTCAAATCAGTGAACAAACTTGACTTAAAATCTGTTAAGGATCAGGGAGTACACTTTAACCAGCTTTGATCTATTGTTCTTACAAGTCTTCCACATTGGTCTGGATGAAATCCCCACAGTTCCTTTCTCTGGCCATAGCAGGATTGCTCTCATGTCCCAGGCCTGGGTGGGTTTGAGGCCTGATAAAATATCCACTTGCCAAAAGGGATTTATTATCTCTGCTGGCTCCTTGTGAGTAACTCAGTTCCACATAGTGTGCTTAGGATGTGCCCATCATTAAAGGATAAAAGAATTAAAGCGAATTCTAAAACTGACAGGGTAGGAGAGGCCTATGTTAGTTTGCAGAAGCCCTGCTGCTTTAAAGATGAACAAAAACCCACAGTTAAACTGGTCAAGCACCACCTGAGGTAGAATCCTGAACCTAAAAGGCATAATTGCTATTAGGTTATAGTACAAATACACTGCTTTAAAAATAACCACTCTATTCATAATCCATTATACAGTGGTACCTCTGGATGTGAATGGGATCCGTTCGAGAGCCCCGTTCGCATCCAGAAGTGAACACAACCCGCGTCTGCGCGTGCACAGGTCACGATTCGCCACTTCTGTGCATGCACGAGACGTTATTTTGAGCGTCTGCGCATGTGTGAGCAGCAAAACCCGGAAGTAACACGTTCTGTTACTTCCATGTCACTGCGGAGCGTAACCTGAAAACGCTCAACCTGAAGCATATTTAACCCGAGGGATGACTGTATAAGTTTAGAAGGATTTATGTAGCCTGAATTCTTGTACCTGCATAGTCTTAAGTGCATGGCTATGCAATATTTTAAAATGTTTCAAATCTGTTTAATTGTACAAACTGACTGATCATGAAATGTTGTGGAGGGATTTAGGAAAACAAATAATGAAACTTCAGTACCCCCCAAAACCAAACCTTCTAGGCTCTTTAGGAAGTGGAGAGGGGGGATATCACAGTTTTAAGTGCCTGATATAGAAATGCCATAAGTTTCTGAGACTCGCTGAAGGCAGGAGTGGAAAAGACATGCTAGTTAGATAAGAATATGAGTGGCAGAAAAATGTATAAACTGATGCACGTATGTCCTCTGAGTTTAATAGGGATTATGATTCAGCGTTTGACCAAACTGCGGGAGGCAGTGGAAGACAGGAGTGCCTGGCATGCTCTGGTCTATGGGGTCACGAAGAGTCGGACACGACTAAACAACAACATGATTCAGCACTATTCCACTAGATTATAGCAGTGTTCCCACAAACTTATTTTTCATTATTCTTTGACCAGAACCACAGTATTTGCTTTCACAAATTCCAAAATGTGTGTCTGTCTGTTTGTGTGACAAAATAGACCCTCATTTTATTTTTTTATTTAATTTATTTAAAATATTTATATTCTGCCATCCCCATGCTCAATATACTCCACTCCATAAAAACGAATGTAGGACAATATGCAGTCAGATAGTATTTGACTTACTATAACCAACCAGCCCACTAACAGAGTATAAACAAGTGATAACTATTTGCACTAAAGTGCATACAGTGATGGAAGCACCAGAAATGGGGGAAGGGAGTTGATAAAAATTGATAAATATATGGGCTCATTTTGAAATTAGTTTTCAAGCATGTGTTCTTTTGAAATCTATGGGTTTGGCTTTTTAAAAGTGACAGAACTGTGGATTCAGCGAGGGAATCTGATATATAGCTAAGTTCATTGTACTTTCTTATTGACTTGGATAGGTTGGAAATATGGTGTCTCTTCTTCACATTTTCTGGTGTAACTGCATTTGCCGCAGGCTTTCTACTTTCTTGCTCCCTCATTGATCTCACTGCATAAAATGTGAGTTACAAATTCCTGCACAGTTTAGAAGATGGTCTGGGGAGCCCTGACTGGCAAACTGCTGCTCTTGGCATTGGGAACAATGCTGCATATATAGCCCCAGAGTATGGTATACGTCTACGGAGCAGTTTTTGGGTGTTATTTTGATAAGTGTCAAGCATTTGATGATGCTAGTCCAAAAAATATGGAGAACAGTGAATTCCCCAATACAGTCCTCAAAGTCTATTGCTGCTATTTTATCCAGTTATGAATCTAGAGAGGTCCTGCAAAGAGCTTCCCTTGGTGACGTCATGTTGCATATTTGACAGTGAGTCTGAAGCAAACGGGTATTTCATAGCTTGCTCTCTTGCCATCCATGTGCATTCTTTCCAAACTTGTACACTAACCTCCTGTCCACTCGTTCCAAAATACCAGTTTTATAATAGTATCTGCAACAACAAAATTGAAGTTGGACTTAGAAACAGCTTTAACATACAGTACTATGTCAAATGTTTTACTATGCTAGTCAATAAGACATCCTTTTTGAGAGACCACTCTAGTTTTCTGGCAAAGGGGAACTTGCACACATACAGCACAGTTAAACTGCTCAGAGTTCAACACTTTCCCAGACACCATGAAGTTCAGCTCCCTCCTTTTGAAACACTGGGCATTACATTTGTTTTCCTAAGAAAACAGTTCAGAGTCAAATTCTAGGATTGTTGCCAAGGGAAATGGTAAGGTAATAGTATTAAGCGGCATATTCACTGGGTAGGTTGGCAAATGATCTGTTGACTAATGTCTCATTATCCTCATTTATTCTACTCACAGATTTGGCAAGATGATCCTATCTTTAATCAAAAGAGCCATAGCTGTGTCTCATGACCTTTGCATTATACAGCATAAAAAAAATTAAAAAATCTTTGGAACAAGTTAAACTGTGAAATCAGCTGTCTTATATAATGCCGATTAAATCAATAGCTTACCTGAGTGCTCTGCTTAGTTTTTCATAGGTCATTCTATCGTTTTTCTTTCTTTGCCCCCACATCTTTGCTAGAGCATCTGATTTAACAACTCGAAAGATGCCTTGGTCTCTGTCTTCCCATTCCAGAATACCACTGTTCTCCTCAGGAGACAGGAGGAGGTCTCTTACAAATTCCCACAAGTGAGAGCTCTGTAGACCTTCAAGAATTAAAAGCAGCACATAGATTTTACTAGTAAAAATTCATTTCAGAAGCAAGGCTGACAGGGTTTTGGGTAGGAGGACTATGATGCAGGGAAGGGGAGTGGCACACTACACTGCACATCTGTAGAGCAAGCTGACATGGGCCATTACAAAAATAACCATGCTTGGCTGGAGATAGTGCTAAACAGCATTTGACTAGACCCCTTTAGATGTCGCCCTAGGGACTTCTGAAGACTAAATGGTAATAATGCCACTGAGCACATGCAAAATGCTGTTTCCTCACTACTGTGTAGAAGCCACAATCGGTTCTCAAATATCAGCAGTGACAACTGGGACCTGTAACAAATGTGGAGTGCTTCTGTTTAGTGTTCCAGCCCCCAATCATACTTTCAGGATAATACATTCACTTTGTTTCCTCTTGGTTTTTGTAATATTTTCTCCTGCAAACCCCCCCCCCCCACATATGGACATTCAGAATTCCATGGCCTCTGGGCATTCTCAGTCATCACTGGTCTATTTCTGAATATTTTTACACCCTTAGATGTTGTTGTTTAGTCATTCGGTCATGTCCAACTCTTCGTGACCTCATGGACCAGACCACGCCAGGCACTCCTGTCTTCCACTGCCTCCCGCAGTTTGGTCAAACTCATGCTGGTAGCTTCGAGAACACTGTCCAACCATCTCATCCTCTGTCGTCCCCTTCTCCTTGTGCGCTCAATTTTTCCCAACATCAGGGTCTTTTCCAGGGAGTCTTCTCTTCTCATGAGGTGGCCAAAGTATTGGAGCCTCAACTTCACGATCTGTCCTTCCAGTGAGCACTCAGGGCTGATTTCTTTAAGAATGGATAGGTTTGATCTTCTTGCAGTCCATGAGACTCTCAAGAGTCTCCTCCAGCACCATAATTCAAAAGCATCAATTCTTTGGCGGCCAGCCTTCTTTATGGTCCAGCTCTCACTCCCATACATCACTACTGGGAAAACCATAGCTTTAACTGTATGGACCTTTGTCGGCAAGGTGATGTCTCTGCTTTTTAAGATGCTGTCTAGGTTTGTCATTGCTTTTCTCCCAAGAAGCAGGTGTCTTTTAAATTTGTGACTGCTGTCACCATCTGCAATGTTCATGGAGCCCATGATCCTTCATGGATCACTGCCTTGTTGTGGCAAAGGGGCTTGAATAACTCAGAGGAGCTATGAGTTATGCCATGCAGAGCCACCCTAGATGGACAGGTCCTAGTGGAGAGTTTTGACCAAATAACGATCCACCTGGAGCAGGCCACTCCAGTATCCTTGCCAAGAAAACTCCATGGACAAAGACCCCCTTAGATATTTCCCCCTAAATATTTTCGTTTCTCAGTACCCTCATTTTTGCAACACAGCTGTTGGTATTAATATTGATTCATCTCATTTATCTATCACTATACATACCATATTTGCTTGAATGGAATGTGCACCATTTTGGCCAAATGACCTCACAAAAATTAGGGTGTGCATTAGATTTGATGGTGCCAGCAAATACTTTTTTGTTTTCAAGGTTTTGAAAATTGAGGTGTGCATTAGATTCGATGGCACATTAGATTTGCATAATTACGGTACATACACACAGTATATACAATGTACAATATGATTATTATGGCATTCTCATTGCTTATGGGTTGGTACCCAGCTGTGCTTGAGTGTTGACACTTCTATTGAAATTAACTGTTGAACTCCCCATCCCCATGAAGCTGGAGAACAAACAATTTAAGGAAATGAATGAACTATGAGTGTGCTTGAGTCATCATCTCTTGAGTTCAAGGAGGTTTACAGCTGCAGGAAGCCAATGCTGATAATTTCTGCTGAATCTCTTCTGTTTCCCAAATCCGAACTTGAAATGCGGTGACCCCACTTCAGATTTTAATAAGAAGAGTCTGTATGCGTACATAATAAACTCAGGTTTTGCTCTGCTATATTTGATACTAAATTGCAAAATCAGATAAATAATAAGAGCTTTTTAAAAAAAATATCTCATAACGTATATGCATAACTACAGCTCATTCAACAATTTCAAATAAAAATATCTTTTTTAAAAAAGCAGTAAAGGGATCTATGCCTGTGGCAAACCTGTGAGAACTAAGCTCAAGTCTCCCTCAACTATGAAACTTAATGAGCGACTTTGCCCTAGTCAGCACAGCCTTCTTTGCATGCTATTCATGCACACAGAAAACTGATATAATCACCATTTCCACTTTAGAGCTATTCATATATTTTATGCATATGACCAAATGCCTCCACTCCTACTGACTAGTAGCAACTGGTGTGGTTGGGTGGAGCTGTGGAGCTGCTATGCTGATACTGCTGCCTCTGCTGCTTGCCAGGATGGGGTAGGGCCATCCAGGTGCACTGATGGCCCCACCCTTGCTGCTGCCCTGCTTCACCCCATCCAGGTAAACAGCAGCAATGCCAGTGCCAGGAGGGTGGCTCCATAGCTCCACCCTGCCACACATGCCACAGCTGATAGCTTCCAAACCAATTCTTCCACAGTTCCTTTGGATGCTGTTCATATCCTGTCTTTATTCATTCTTGTTTGTTCAGCATTCTTCCAAACCATCCTCTGACTCTCTTATTTTTTTATTCTCAGGCTTCGTGCCTTCTCAGCTGCTCCACCCCTTCCTCTGCTTCTTTTCTCCTCCCGACTAAATGTAGAGTTGCCTTTTTTAAAAAAAAGAGTGTGAGAGAATTCCCTTGTGACAGGAATAAGTATGGAGCTTTCCCCACAAATGGGCTGCAGTGATTTTGTAGCTGTTGTGTCTCGAAACTGCTAGTAAAAAACAGGAAAAGCCTAGTTAGACACGGCTGCTTCTTCATCTTTGGACCTTCAAGGCCTACAACACCTGCTTTTTGAGTTTATTCTCCAGTAGGAATCTGAAAAGGTATTTGTCTCTTGGATACTAGAAGTGCCACCTGGTGGCTGTGTGATGCTGCGAGCATTGCAGTAGGTAACTATTGCTTATATATGAGAACTGGAATAAACATTTAAACAAAAACAAGCACTGTTCACACAGACTACAAGCGTATTTGGAGATGTACTGCAAATAGTGACGTTTTCTATGACGTTTCAAAGGCTATAGATGGCGGAGGTATACCTACTTGTTCTGCTGTGACTTTGAAACTCTTCGCTCTTGATGCCCCCTGTCCTCAAACATGCCTTATCAATATCTGGAAAACATTTTTAAAAAAGCATGGACATAAATAAATATGGATGAATTTCAGGGTCGGGTGACAATGTGACTTAAAGAGGTCAAAGTGTTCACCCAATAACATTCCATGCAATACTAAACCAACATGGGTCTGTGATTTATCTTAAAATAAAAAATCCAACTTTAACATAAAGATAAATCAAAATGAATTATTAACCAGAAGCTGGACAGTTAGCTAAGCTGGCAGCCAAAAAAGAGAGAGAAGTACATAAGATACCAGTGGCCAGATTTCAATTATCTGAAAACATGGTTATTTGGAAACACAGTGTGTCCTGATTGTATCTCTATGTAAATAGTGCTTCTACCTACAGTATAATCTGAAGGCCATAGTTATGGAGTATTGTAGGCAGTGTCAAAGTTCATTATTGGACATTGGTACCTCTGTGCTGATCTTTAGACTGATGTTAGTGTTGATGCAGATTTTCCTTTTTTTGCAAGTGCTGGTGTTTGGGGTTTTTTTTGCAAATGCATGGAAAAGCACAGTGTAAACCTATGGGTCTGGTTTCTAAGAGACTTGCACAACCGAGAACCACAAAATATGATCTTATATTTACACAGGTCTTTGGTCATGTCCCATTTATTTATTTAATAGCATTTCCAAAGTCTGTCCAAAGTGGCTTGCAAGAAAGAAAAAGAGCAAAGAAAAAGAGGAAACTTCAAGAATCAATAAAAGCGGAACAAAATAACTAGAAATGCTTCAGGCAATCAAAAAATTGGTCTAGGCAGAAATCCCCAAAAGCCTGATCAAAAGGGGTATCAAGCATTGCTCAGTTCCAGAAGGAATTGTTCCATAGCCTCAGGACCATGCTGCAAGGGCTCTGCTTCCAGGGTCAGATTTCACAGAGCACAAATATATGCAAACTAATGCAGGGCTTATTTGATGAACAAAGATGGCAGGAAGAGCAAGGACCAAACTAGCCATTGTGATAAATGCTCTTTTTTGTTGTTGCATTTTATGTGGGGGGGAGAAGAAGAAGAAGAAGAAGAGGAAGAAGAAGAAAGCAAACATCAGCCATACAAATAGGGAGATTAGCAGCATTGTAGTAGAGGTTTTTTAAACCCTTTCCTCCCTTGCTGCATTTCTGATAAAAAAATACATTGGATCTTCTTTCTTCAACAGTAGGAGCAATATTCATCAGCACTACAGAAGGGGAAGAAAGGGATAAATTCCCTTTCCCTGCCTATTCTGATCCAAAAATGACCTTGTGCACCTGCCAGTAGCTAGTATTTGTATTTAAAGTGTATGTTAATACAAAGACGTGTTTTAATGTCATATCTGAGTTTGGCCTATGGTCTCTGAGACCACGGATCCCAGACTGTGTAAACTTTCATAGGCATAAACAAACAGCAAAGGCTGCACATGTTCCCTGCTCTGGACTTTTAACAGGAAACAGACTGCAGCAATATTGCACCAACTGATACTTTTTTAGTCTTAAGAAAACCCCATATAAAACACATTACAGTAGCCAACCTTGGAAATTTCAGTCATTATAGGCAAAGTTCCTATCCTATCAGTTGGAGGTTCGAATCCCCATGATGGAGTGAGCTCCCATTGCTGTGTCCCAGCTCCTGCCAACCTAGCAGTTTGAAAGCACACCAATGCAAGCAAATAAATAGGTATTGCTGTGCCAGGAAGGTAAATGATGTTTCCATGCGCTCTGGCTTCCATCACGGTATTCCCTGGCCCACTCCTTGGCCACTTCCCCCAGCCCGAAATGGTTGTGCCAGAAGCGGTTTAGTCATGCTGGCCACATGACCTGGAAAGCTGTATGTGGACAAATGCTAGCTCCCTCGGCCTGAAAGCGAGATGAGTGCCACAACCCCATAGTCACCTTTGACTGGACTTAACCATCCAGTGGTCCTTTACTTTTTACCTTTTTCCTGCACAACAGATTTAATTTCCAGAGTGTTGTTTTATGTACCACAAAACTTGCTTATCAATCTATGGTATTTTAAACAATGTGTGTGTGGGATTATTGTTTTCATTTGTTATGTATTTTTGTGGGTTTTTTATTGTAAAGCATCTGTGATCCATGGATGAAGAGTGGTATAGAAATTTAATAAATATTAATAATAACTAAGCTCTTCAATTGTTGCCATATTTCACCCTCCAGGACAGTATCACCTCCAACTTTCCTGGATTCAGTTTCAGTCTATATGTCCAAATCCATTTGATCACAGCTCATGAGACATAGAGCTGGGTGTCATAAGTACAGTGGTCACACCCAACTTCAAAATTCCCAGTGGTTTCATTCACATAGATTCTAAAGAACATTGGGAAGAGCACTGAGCTTTCCAACACCAGATGTTAAATTTCATGGGACCAGGTTTGTCTCTCCAGTGGTCACCCTGCGAGTTCTGGTCCCTGTGGACTGCTGTATATTGAAGCTGCAGTTACGGCTTTTAGCTATGAGCTTTCACTCTTATCTAGAAAAACACACACTTTAAAAAAGTTTACTTACAATCTTTTTCAGACGACTTTGTATCTTCATTGTCATGAAAGAAGGAGACACCTATAGAGAAAACCATAAAAGTTTTTAATAATAAATGTCTGTATTGAGACTTTTGGTACATACCCTGCATTAAAAAACCCCAATCCCTGGTCCAAAACAGACTCTTAAAACTACAATACTGTGCTACTGTTGTAGCATTTCAGACTCCTCCATTACACTTCATCAAAAACCTAGTTTCCCTTGTATATTCCCTTTTTAATTTCCATGTCCTTGTTCCCCTGTGCCAATCTTGTCTACCTGCCTACAGCACAAGATATGATTTTGTAAAAAAGATTTATTCTTGTGTAAAATTCACTTTCCACCTTGTTTTATTCTTGTTTCCCCCACACTGAGTGCATTTACATACATGCCCAGACCAAAGTGTGGTTCAGGGCAACGTATAAATCTCTGTGGATGTCAGTTCAATGCCTTGTGCAAATATTATCAGTCACAGTCAGAATGAAACAATCATACTCCGATTAAATCTTTGGCACACTGACCATGAGCCTTGATGTTTTGTAGGATGAAATACAGGTATTCACCACAAATGCCTGCAGCATTTAGAAACTCCTCTTGGGTCATGCCGCACAGTTGTTGGCCATTGATGTTAAAGTGGGAAAATGAAATACAGTTGGCATCCAGTTTGTATTGATCACAACAAAATTGTAGCCACTCGCATACGTTGTTTCTCGTCCAGTATTCGGGGTAAACAGATGTCCAGGAAGAATCAGAACCTGCCACAGTGCAATGAAGGAAAAAAAGCAGTACATTTAAACTGTGGGTGATTTATTTTAGACATCAAAAGTTTAAATGGAAACACTGTATTAACAAATATTGGTTAGGGTTAGTTCCAATATCTTTGTGCAAGGATCACAATCTGTGGCAATGTCCTATTATCATAAACAGATAACGGTATATCACACTTGTATAGGGTTGCCTTGTAAACTGGGAAATTCTTGTAATGTCCTGGTGGTGGCGGCTAAATTGGCGCCCGGGTAAATGTAAATATCCAGGACTTTGTCTGCTCCCCATTGGAAGTGCTCAACAACTTTTTGAACAATTGCCCCCAAAAGCTGAGCAACTGTGTCTGGATTTTTACTTCTTGAAATATGGCAACCCTACACTTGTGCAGCAGGAGAATTTCTGTTCCTAAGCTGGTAACATTTGGGGGGACTGGCAATAGCTACATGAGCAGTGTTGCACAATGTATTATGGGGCATAGAAATGGGAAGACAGTGGGATGGAACAGGGCAAAACTGAGACAAAAATGACAATTTAGGCACAGAGTTTATGCAGAAATTCACAATCCAGCTCCCTTATTCACTCACTGATTATTCTTTATCCAGGCATTTTATAACATCTGAAAAGAGCTCTAGCCAATCAGTATTGGAGACAAACTATCAGACTAGATTGTCTGATCAAGGCAGGCAACATGTATGCTTATCAATATTTATTAATCCACTTGGACCTAGCTTTAGCAGGAAATTGATTTTAACAGGAAATCTGTTTTTTATGATAAATGTGTTATGAATCATGATTCCTGTTTCATTGCTATGAAATGGACTTTTCTCTCTATATAAAATACATTTCTCTCTATATTCTCTACAGTGTCTGTTCTCTACAGCTTGAAGAGACCAAGTCAACTGCTTTTCTGATGCTGAAATGTATTAACCTTGAAATGCTTTGGTGATTGTTTCTAAAACTTGATGGATTGACTTGATGGAGATAAATATCAGCTTTGCTAGTAATAAAAATGCTAAGGCATGTTCCTTTCTTTCATGAATGATTCTTGCCAGTTTAGTCTTCTTGATTGCTTTCACTTCTAAAAAGCTCAGATGATTTTTTTGAAGTCAGAAAACACCCTGTAGAGGTCATTATGTATTTAATCAGTCTGCCAAATATGGCAACTTTAAATCTAGTGTCTTCTCATTTATTTTCATATTCTTTTGTACGTTAACACTTTTGAGGGAAGAATCTATATCACCGACTTGGGCAGCTGGGCAAGAATGGATAGCAATAGTGACTTCAAGAGTGTGTGTGGAATCGTGGGCATGCAACACAAAATGTAGAATACCAGGATAACATAATGTAAAATGCTGAATGAGAGCAATGGCAGGAGAGGGCTATTGCTTGAGGTTTTATTTACTATTTCTGCCATTGGAGAATGGGTCTCTATCAAGAGTTCCCTGGTTCATATCCGGGTGCCCCCTCAACTAGCTTTGCAATTCTGGGCTGCATAGGAGTATAGCATCTAGATCAAGGGAAGTAATAGTGCCACTGTATTCTGCTCTGGTCAGACCTCACCTGGAGTACTGTGTCCAGTTCTGGGCACCACAGTTCAAGAAGGACACTGACAAACTGGAACGTGTCCAGAGGAGGGCAACCAAAATGGTCAAAGGTCTGGAAACGATGCCTTATGAGGAACGGCTAAGGGAGCTGGGCATGTTTAGCCTGGAGAAGAGGAGGTTAAGGGGTGATATGATAGCCATGTTCAACTATATAAAAGGATGTCATATAGAGGAGGGAGAAAGGTTGTTTTCTGCTGCTCCAGAGAAGCGGACACAGAGCAATGGATCCAAACTACAAGAAAGAAGATTCCACCTAAACATTAGGAAGAACTTCCTGACAGTAAGAGCTGTTCGACAGTGGAATTTGCTGCCAAGGAGTGTGGTGGAGTCTCCTTCTTTGGAGGTCTTTAAGCAGAGGCTTGACAACCATATGTCAGGAGTGCTCTGATGGTGTTTCCTGCTTGGCAGGGGGTTGGACTCGATGGCCCTTGTGGTCTATTCCAACTCTATGATTCTATGAAGAACCTTGTTGCATTACTGAATTGGATTTTAAAAATTATCTGGTGGGAATTCAAAGCCACTATCAAGTTTTGAATGCAATTGGTGAAATTAATAAATTTATGCACTGTAATTTTATACCTACAGCTAAAATCGTGCTATTAAGTATTTTCAGAAAGGAACTCCAGGACACAGTGCACAAGTCATAGATTGTCTTTCTTTTACTAGCATAAATAATATAAATAACACTCCAGTATTAGAGTCTGGATCCTCCTGCAACAGAACAATGGTATAGACAAATATTGTCCTAACAAAACAAATTCGTATCTGCAATAAGTGACAAGCTCCAGCCTCTTTTATGGATGACTGGTATTCATCTAATTTCTGGATTTATTCTACTACATTAGTTGTTCTGCGATGCTTTCCCAGTACTACTATATTGTTGCTGTTGGTGTGTGTGTCCCTGAAAAAGTGCTTTTTTTAAAAAAAGGTGTGAATGTGGCAAAAGACAGCAGCATCCAAAATGGCCACCATGATCTCATGAGAAAAAAATGGGATGTCCTGTTTTTTCCGGGACACTTGGAGGGTATGGGATTGCAGCTGGAAGTTACAAAATATGCGCTGACTGGAAATAAAGCAGTATAGCTGCCAAAAAGTTTTACAGGCACAAATAGTATTGAAAGTGGGATTGTGTGTGACTGCCCTGATAGCATCATGAGCTCAAAAATCATGAATGTGCAGTAAAAATGATATCTGGAAGGAACCTAAGACTACATATAGCCAAACAATTAATCAGGTCAATTTTGCATAAGGAACACTTCTACTGCATTTGGTACAGTAGTACCTCATTGTGAGTCCGGCCCGTTTAGCGTCCATTTCGTGGAACGTCCTTGGCAAACCTGGAAATACCAGAATATGTTACTTCCGGGTTTGCTGCACGCACAGAAGCGCTAAATTGCGCAAAAACGTTCATGTGCGTGCGCAGAGCCGTGCTTTGTCGAGCGTCCATTTCATCGAGCATCCGGGGCTCCGAAACGGATCCTGGACTCAAAACAAGGTACCACTGTAAATTGCTTTTTCATTAGTCATTGCAGCTTGGCTCTGTACAGCCTTTCCCAAGCAACAGGGAGCTATGTGAGAGAGTTATGTGAAGGCGTTGGCTGGTCTAGCTGCACATGGGAACAGAACATCAGGCTGCTCCTTCCAGCCAATCAGGATTTCTGAAGAAACAGGAAGTGAACTTACTTCACCCTCTTTTTTCTCTTGCAAAAGCAGTCCAGTTGTCTACAAGGCCCTGCTGAAGCAAACAAGAACAGAAACTTGCACATTCTCATCCTCAGCTCCTGGACTTGTGCATAGTCTTTAATTCTGACCTGGCCAATTTGTTTACCATGACGAACTCAGCAGGGATTGGCTGCTGTCAATCTTAGTTTCTTGACATCATCATTTAATATTTGCAAATGATGCATCACAACCTAATGCTTGTAAAAAGGAGCCTAAAGTTTATGTGGCACTATACATATGCTGTGAGGGACGTGGGTGGCGCTGTGGGTAAAACCTCAATGCCTAGGACTTGCTGATCGCATGGTCGGCGGTTTGAATCCCCGCGGTGGGGTGCACACCCGTCGTTCGGTCCCAGCGCCTGCCAACCGAGCAGTTCGAAAGCACCCCCGGGTGCAAGTAGATAAATAGGGACCGCTTACCAGCGGGAAGGTAAACGGCGTTCCGTGTGCTGCGCTGGCTTGCCAGATGCAGCTTGTCACGCTGGCCACGTGACCCGGAAGTGTCTGCGGACAGCGCTGGCTCCCGGCCTATAGAGTGAGATGAGCGCACAACCCTAGAGTCTGTCAAGACTGGCCCATACGGGCAGGGGTACCTTTACCTTTTTATACATATGCTGTACACAGAGCTCACAATTTAAACAGAAACAAAAAGGAAAAACATGTTTACAGAAGAAGAAACCTTAGTGAAATTAAAATGAGAATGGTAAAAACATTTTTTGAAAGGGAAATCTGTTCAGTAGCTAACATGAAGATTAAGGAATTTAAAAAAGGATCAAAACCATGAGGGGGGAAATGAGATTTAAAAAATAATTTTCTGAGAAGCAGTTATATGTGAAATAGCCAAGAGGCAAGAGCTGCATGTAAGGAGTCATGCAAAAAGCAGAGGGAACACAAAGATGAGAAGAGTACCAGAGGCAGATTTAGGGGAATGCGACCAGTTTGGTTGCACTGGGTGCAGAGCCTTGGGGACACCACAACTATGCTGTATAATGGAAGGCGAGAAGTGGAGGGGGTTCACCGAATGTTGATGCACAGGGCGCTGCTAAAATTTTAGAAACCAAGGTCTGCCACTGAGAGCATAAGGGAATGGCATTTTAATGAAACAAAAGGATGTGTTAAGAGAACAAGAAGGAAAATAATGGAGAAACTATGAAGATAGACACAAGTGAGGAAGGACACCAAGAGGCTTAAAAGTCAGAAGATGATGAAGTTAAGCTTGAAGAAACCAAAAGAAGAAACCAATGAAGAGGAGTATGTGAACAGAAAGTTTCCCCCTATGCAAATTGTTGATGTGGGCTTTATAGGGCCACAGCACATGGTAAAGAGTTGAGCCCCACTACTCCCTAGCATAAGGTCCTGATCCAGATCCCCCAAAAAATTTCTATAGCCCCCAACAACAACCCTGAATTTTAGGGCACAGATATGAAGCAAATGTATTACAGTATCTAGTTTGCCCTTCAATGAGCAGAGCAACTTAGCATAAAAGTAAGAAACATACAGTTAGTGAAAACATAGGGAAATACTTCTGGGAACAGCTCAGTTTTTGGAATAAGAATGGACCTGGATGTTACGGCATGGAGATGCCTTTGTTCATCCAATTCCCTTTTGTTTTCATGTTTTTTTATAGCGTATTGTACAACACACTGCTGTGTGTGTTATAATGCTGTGTGCCTCCCTCTTCTCACCAGCCAATGATGTGAGTATAAGTTGGGAGATGCACAGCACATATTAAGTTCCGTTTAGTCATGAGACAGATAAGAGGCTGTGCTTTCTCCTCTGCCCCAACTGTTGTGCTACTCTGAAATTCAGTTGTAACTTCCACAGTGGGGAGCCTTCTTTACTCATGGAGGCTCCCTGTGCAATTGAGATCCTTGAACTCCATCTGAGAAGTTGCAGCAGAACATTTGATCAACTGGCATGAGCAGTGCAATGACAGGGGCAGGTCACAGTAAGTACTGTACATCTGTTCTTTCCTCTGTGCAAGAATAATATTTGAGCTAGTAGTGTGTTGTGTAAGATTTGACAAGGGAAAGGAAACAAAGAGAAATGAGCTGACAGTCGTTCTGCATCTAGTCAGGCAGAACCTCTAGTTCTGCTCTAAGATGCCTGAAGAGATGGTGGAATCAGCTACTCACTAGGTCACTAGGTTCCCAAGAAAAGGTTAGTCAGGCTTCTCTTGTGGATTTCTAAGGCGTAGATTTGTATTTCTTTGCATAGGGCTTGAACAAGATAATCATCATCTCCCTTTCAGCTCTTTGATTGCATGATTTACATGGTAAGCTGCCTGTTCACCTACCAGACTGTCAAGCAAATAAACATATTTTCAAGGTCTGATCCTGAAATGTCTTACGTATACAATTATAAAAGGTAAAGAATGAAAGCAACAAATATTTATTTGCAATAAAAAAATGGATACAGTTGTCATTGAGCCAGGTCTCTGCACAATAAATGAACAAGGGCAGTGTATCTGAAAAGACGGTCAGACACAGAATATTACATCACTGGAAGACATATTTATTTGGGTAGAGGATGTTTTGTTGTGGTTGCAGTGCAATTCAAATTATTAAGTAAAAGTAGTAGCTGGCAGTTACTGTGTTGAGTGCTTGTTAACGAAGCACCAATGTACCCACCTGTTAGGTGATCAAATGGAGGGTAGTTTTCTTCAGGTGCTCCAAACAGTTCTGACCAAGACATCAGGGATTCACATAGCATTGTGTTTGGCAAGAAGGTATTGTGGCTTACTGAGTCTAGCATCATCCTGAAATATAACATTATTATTCTCATTGGTTAATTCCTACACATGCAGCCACCACAACAATAGTTCCCCAGTGCATAGTTCCCTAACCCTATCCTCTACCAAGTAAGCTTGACCACTCATGCCTTGAACTGATATATATTCTTAGTAGACTTCCAATAACATGTCACATTAAACTATAAACAATGTTTTAATGCAGGGGTTGCCAACCTGGCACCTGCAGGTGCCGCAGCACCATTGAAGGCCTTCGTTGGCAGCCCCAGACAGGAGGTACAGATTCTGAGCTTTCATTTTTAAAGAAAGGTCAGTCTCTTTCCCCCTTAGAAAGAAAGTTGTGAAGCAAAATGTGCAGGTGCCCCTCTAGCAATTTCTGTAAAATGAGCCAGCCTGCCTGCTTTTGTCTGTTTGTTTTTAGCCAATGAATGAAATCAGAGCAGTGATAAGTCAGTTGTTTGGACACCAGCCAGTGAAAATTCATGGAATCCTGAGAAACTCCCCTTCCCCTTTAGTGCTCTGGCGTCATCCAATAAATCTGAATGGTGGAAGATTCAGGGCAGACAAACAAAAATACTTCTTCAAACACCGCATAATGGAATTTGTAATTTGTAAAAACTTGTATGGCTTTTAAAAGGAAATTAGATACATTCATGGAGGAGAAGGCTACCAATGACTGCTAATCATGACAGCGATAGTTTAACTCCAATAGCAGCAGCAGTGCACATCTATGTACCAGTTGCTATGGAACAAAATTCCATTGTTGGTAGGCTTTCCATAGCAATGTGGTTGGCCAGTGCTTGGAAACAGAAAAGATGGGCATTTGGTCTGATCCAGCAATATGCTGCATTTTGTTTGCATGGAAGTATATATACACTTCTCTGAGCTTTAAAAATAAGGAAGAATTTCTTGTAGTCAAAAGCAAGTATAATATATAAAAACTTGCCTTTGACTACAGCTGCCTTGAAACCAGAGCATTTTGCTCCATTTCATTCAAACAAAAGAAATTATTTATCTATAAAAATATTTATATACCGCTTTATCAAAAAATGTATTGCAGCAGTTTACAACAAGCAATTTAAAAACATAAAACCAAACAATACCATCATAAAAAAGCATAGTGAAGGGAAGGGAAGTTTTAATGTCTAATGCTGTATTGTTTTTGATATTTGGTTGGAAGCTGCCCAGAGTGGCTGGGGAGACCCAGTCAGATGGGTGGGGTATAAATAAATTATTATTATTATTATTATTATTATTATTATTATTATTATTATTAAAAGCTAGGTAAAGGTACCCCTGCCCGTACGGGCCAGTCTTGCCAGACTCTAGGGTTGTGCGCCCATCTCACTTAAGAGGCCGGAAGCCAGCGCTGTCCGAAGACACTTCCGGGTCACGTGGCCAGCGTGACGAAGCTGCATCTGGCGAGCCAGCACCAGCGCAGCACACGGAAACGCTGTTTACCTTCCCACTATAAAGCAGTACCTATTTATCTACTTGCACTTAGGGGTGCTTTCGAACTGCTAGGTGGGCAGGAGCTGGGACCGAAAGACGGGAGCTCACCCCATCGCGGGGATTCGAACCGCTGACCATACGATCAGCAAGTCCTAGGCGCTGAGGTTTTACCCACAGCGCCACCCGCGTCCCATAAAAAGCTAAGGACAAGTCAAAAACAAAAATAAATTAAGACCAAACACCTGTAGACTATTCTGGAGAATGTAATCTTAATTTCCTGCATAGGCCCTGCAGAATAGAAAAGTTTTCAGCAGGTGTTTGAAAGTTGGCACCAAAGGGGCCAGCTGAATCTCTATTGGCAGGGTGCTCCACACGGGGTCCTGAAATGGACCTCATCAACTCAGTGAATAACCAAAGATGTTCCTGGATGAGAAACTTTGGACATTCCACCCAATCAGGTTCATATTGCGACTCTACATAGTCAAGGATTTCTGTTGTGAACTGCCCTGGGATCTTGGGATGAAGGGTGGCATACAAATTTAATAAATAAAAATAAAGACAACTGAGAATGAGAGCAAGTTAATAAATAAGCAAACTTTTTGTTAAAACAATGTATCTTTAATCACTGCTTAAAAAGTGACAGCTTTGGCCCGACCTCTTCATAACCACCACATTTAGGATTATGTGGCACATCTTCACACTCAGAAAATTTCAGCCCTTTGGTAGGTTTGATCCCTGACATCTCTCTTAGACTGTCAAGCATAGTGAATGTCAGGGTAAAACAGATAAAAGGGGGTGGTACAAAATGTAAGGATATGTATTTTGTTATAAAATCCCTTGGCAAAGAACTGGATATTGAATTGTTTGGTTGAACTGATTTCACTTACACAATAAGAGGGATGTGAAATAGGCTGAAGGAAGGAAGGGACTTTTTTTGCATAGAGGCAGGACTAATATGCAGGACACCCTTGCTAGATTTTCCTGTATCTTAATTAGCTACATAGAGAAGACGAAAGCACTCAAGATGCCCAGGGCTTACTATTTGTCAAGGAATATACTGAAGTTAAGCAAGTATGATTCAAGCTACGGGAAGAAATGAACAACTATTTGAGTTATAGCCCTGTCTCACCACAACCCGTGGAGATCAGTTAACACCTTTCGCTGAGAAAGAAAAGCTGTTCACTGAGATTTCGAAGGAAACTTTATTATGGTTTTTGACACAAATCCAGCCCATTGACTGTTCCATCTCAGATTACAATCATTTCTGAGGAAAGAGAAAATTGCACTGGAAGAATTCTGAGTCATCCTATAATGTGGCTAATCAAATAAGAGCTGGTGTTTGACAAAAGCAATACATCAAAGAGGGATTGCAAATTTACATTTTCTCTGAATGCTAACTTCCTTCCCTGCAATGGAAGTTGTATACAAGTGGATTTTCATGTGAAAATGAGGTGGCAAATTCACTTTTTATTTTGGCAACCCAGGTTAAATGTTTGAATCAGCCCTTATTCTCAGATTTAATGAATGCAATTGCTCTTTCTGCTGTTCTAGGGAATCTGAATGGTTTCAGGATTCCTGTTGCCATAGATATATGCATTTGACGTTGGTTCATTATTCACTAATACACCCTTCATTCAAAGAAATCTGCCAGAAATGACTAGCTGAACCTCACTGGTGGATTCAAATTTTGCCTTTTTATTATTATTAGCATTTCCAAGCAAAACCAGGTGTGAGGCTGCTAGTGTTTTATAAGGTGCAAATAGCAGTTCATAATTAGTTCAGCAACTGATGCTAAGCTCTATCTACCTTTATGAAAGTTAATAATATTGTATGTTAGAACTATAACTGAAAGGCAAAGTGACCTTAAACATTTGACTTTAAACCTTTCTATTACTGCTATTAAACCTTTCTATTGCTATTCTATTCTGGGGGGGGGCACATTGTGGTCCTTCTGGGGTAGTTTGTCCACTTTTGGTCCCTACCCTGCACTCAGCTCTCACCTGGGGCACCTAGAAGCTGTTAGCATGCGACAGCAGCCACACCCTGGCCGGCTAAACCAGGTGAGGGTAGCCGATGGGTCTCAAACGCTCCATGAGCTAGGAACTTTCCCTGCATGCAGAGACAGACTCCAGCAGATTGAGCGGACAAGACCAATAGTGGGTCCAATGGTCAAGAAGACAGTTTTTGCACATGCTGTAGAGGGAACCGAGGGGCCAATGGGGCTCATCAACCTGGGAAGGTAGTCCTTTTAGGAGAAGGAAAACTTTGATCCTAAATCTCCACTTCCCTGAAGGATATCTTCAGGAGGAGAAAAGGCTAAGGAGTAAACCCTACAGAAATCCAGAATGGAGTCCCTAAAATGGCAGGATGACACCTTGTACACCTCCTTGCGGCAATTCCTGCAGCCAAGATGGTGCCATGAGGATGGTCTTGTTGTCTGGGCTGCCCAGGACCTCCATATACACTGCCCAGGCAAGGTCACTTTGATGCTGCTAACACAGCGGTTTCACTTCACCCCCAGAGGCACAGTCCATTGTCTCTCAAGACAGATGGGTGCCAACAACAACTTCTTTATCCTACATTTGATGTTCTTATGTGGTAAACACTAGTTGCCAAATCAATAGTAAATTACTTGCCTACTCATTTTTTAAACTGTTTACTTCCTTCTAGATGAAGTTTCAATTAGGGCTGAGCAAAACCTGCCTCCCCAAATTTCCCATACTATTTGTGGGTGGCAAAAGGGGTTGGTGGGCTGGGGAATTTTCAGATTATGAGGACATTTACCCACTAAGCTCGCTTCTGAGAAATTTGGGCTCACATAATGCTGAATGACACTCTGTTGTTAGTTCATATTGGAGGATGAAGGAAGCAGTGAGTTAAGAGAGCATAAACTCAGATACACAATTACTGTTTACATTTGTTTTTGTAAGTGCTGAGGACTTTGTTAGTAATAGTAATATCTATTGTTACAAATAAACAGTTATATATAAAATAGCCTTCAATAGAGCAAATTTGACCCAAACCAAATTAAATAGTCCTGTCTCCTCAAATTCTTGGTCTATGTCTATGACAATGACAAGACTGGTAATCTGCACTTGAAACCTAGAAGAATAGGCAGCAAAGATAACTGAAGCAGCATGACATTTTAACAAGACTGAATGGAAGTTCCTAGCCTTAAATTGCATTCCCCCACCTGTCTTCCCCCACTTCAGAAAAAAAAAAGATATACACCAAAGCCGGCAGCCAAACAAGGTGACGATTGCCACTGTGAGCCACAACCACTTTAGCCTGGAATCTTGACTTGACTATCATAAGCTTAAGAAAAATGGTTTCTTGGCCCCCTGCTCTATTTCCAGCTCCTTATTTGTATTTCTAACAAAATAATTATTGGAAAAAGTCTGTGACAACAATATAGTTTTGGGGGTAAAAGGGATACAATACAACAAGGTGATTGTTATAATTGCAGAATCAGGAATCGTATGGTTTCCTGGCAATTACTTTTTAGATCAGATATGCAATATGAATCTAAATGCACCACTTCAAAAACAGTTCCATGGACCTCAACAAACAATTAGACAGTTTGAAGTATGCATGTACAGGACTAAAAAGGAAGGAAGAATTAATTTTATATATTTTACAATTTTGCCAACAATGTACTTCAACATCATATCTGTTAATTGAAGGGAATACTCAGAAATAAAATCAAAATGAGGCTTCTGAAACTATTTTAGTTTCTAAAAAGTAGAATTTTGCAAGACTAATGAAGTCTCCTTTATCACATGATCACTAATATTCCATATATTCTATATATTCCAGATATTCTATTATGAAAAAGCTCGCCAATATCCATCCAAAGTTTTTAGCACTGTTATGCCTCATTGGTTTCAAAAGGAGAATTAAGCATGTGCTTTAAATCTTTTCCATTGAATCCAGAGGGATTTAAATGTGGGGCATCTTTGGGAGAAGAAAAGGCTAAGGAGTAAACACTACATAAATCCGGAGTGGAGTTTCTAAGATGGTTGGATGGCATATTGTATGCCTCCTTCCGAAAACTCTTGCAGTCAAGTTGGTGCCAAATGTATTGCTCTGCTTTGGATCATATCAGTGAAGCTGAGATGGGATCATTGTCTGAGCATCCCAAACTCACTGCCCAGGACTGTGGATGGGAGAGGTCATTTTGGTGTTGCTAACACAGCAAAAACATTGTGTGAAGCAGCAGTTACAAGTTACCAGTCTCAGAAGGCACTGTGATTCTCCCATGGTTTGACTTCACCCCCAGAGACATACTCCATTGCCTCTTGAGGCAGATGGATGCCAACAAAAAAAGAAAAAGATAAAAAGATTGGCTGGATCATTACCAAAATAATATACCATTATACTAGTGAATAAAATTTCTTCTGGAATCATCTTTTACTACAGACACCTCAGCATCTGGTAGATTATCAGGACTCTGGTTCTTTCTTTGCTTCCACTGGCAAATGGTCAAAGTGTATTGTGGTTGGAAACACATATTCAAAGTTATATTACTGTTATTGTTCAGACCCACATACATCTCCTAGAAAATTCAAGCATTGCCGTTTTTAGATTAAGCTTTGCGTGTTTCTCTTGAATCTACGTATTTTAAGGATAGCTTTCTTACCAGCAACCACCACCAGAGGTCTCAGCAGTACAAAAGATAACATTTATTTACAGAAGGTCTCAGCAATGCCTTCCACACCCACTAAATTGATAAATTGGTTTATGGTGTCGATCCTAGATAAAAACACACATTTGCATGTATTTGTTTGTAATCTGATTTGCAGGATTAATTATTTTTATACACCAGGCCTTGGCACCATTCATTAGAACGATGAAGATTTCAACATTACCCAGTGCTGTGTTCCCTCATGTACAACAAAATTCATTCTTGGAGACCAGTGGCAAGAGCGGAAAGTTCTTTAATGAATATTTATAGCCTTGCCCTTGCCATCTTTTCTTAAAAGGAAGTCTTGCTGTTTTCAATGGAACCTGCTCCCAGTCAAAAGAAAGTATGCACAGAATTGCAGTCTTAATGTTCTTTGAATGATCTTCAACACAAAAATTAGACCGGGTGCCATGATAGAAGTGCTCCTGTGTTGTGTTTGCTGTATGACAAGAGCACAAAGTGCATCAGATGGCAGTTCGGTTAAGAGCTTGAACAGATTAATGTTGCCAGCCTAGAAAGGGTGGCAGTTAGGGCAGAAAACACCGGTGACAGGTGATTTGCACTGCTCAGTTGATTTGCACTGCTAACACCACACTGCACAGGAACCTCCTTTAAGACCCTTCAGCTAAATAAATAAACAGAGCTTACGTGCTTCTGGGAGTGCTTATTCTCTTCTCAAGGAATTGTTAGATCCAAAAGCAGGTCTCCAAAGCCAAGAGGCTTTCCGGCTCTGCGAGTTGTACACTGGAAGGAAGGCCACCTGTGGTTCTGTGATATATGGAACACTCTCCAGACAGGTCTGTTTGGTTTTTCAGGTTCTTATATACACACCCCCTTTGATGACAGTGATAATAAACAGTGTGACACAGCTGAAAGGAGAATGAGAGTAAAAAAAATGGTCTTTTAAGTTCAGACCAGTTTCATTTTTAACCTTAAACTTTTCCCTTCTCTTTATAAAACAGGCGGGTTTTAGGGGTTAGGAGAGGTAGACAAGTCCCCTGATGTTTTGAATTGTGTCTGATCTTTTTAAAGCTAATGGAGTTGAAGCATTTTACTTTTTTTTAAAAAAGTAGTTTTTCCATTTAATTCACAGACCTAGAAGTAGTTCACACATCCAAGAGGCTGGCTTTATATTATTAACATAGGAGAACAGGGGAAAATGCTTCCCAAATTGTGGGCTGGGTTGTTTGTGAGAATTTCCCCAGAGGTGAGAAGTCAGCACAAGTGTAAAATACGTGATTTTCTAGGTGACTTTCTGGGTGACTAGGTGTTAGGAATAAGAGGTTTTATTTGAAAAAGAAAGCAAAGTTTCTTTGCAGTTTTAATTTAGTAACTAGTCTGTTAAACACCAGACTACAGTGACAGAGAAGGAACAGAAAAAAATGAGTTGCAAAGTAAAACTTTATTAGTTAGGCCAACAAAACTTTAAGACATTCAAAAGATGTAGAGTATTCCCCACAGCTGTCCCCCACCCCCTTTTTGCTGTAAATTATTCATTATTAAAAGGTCTCAAATATAACTGTTACTGAATTTAAAATGACAAGTACCAGTACTGTCAAAGTCATTTTTTTTGCTCTATACCAGGGGTCAGCAACCTTTTTCAGCCGTGGGCCAGTCCACCGTCCCTCAGACAATGTGGTGGGCTGGACTATATTTTTTGGTAGGGGGGGGAATGAATGATTTCCTATGCCCCACAAATAACCCAGGTATGCATTTTAAATAAAAGGACACATTCTACTCATGTAAAAACACATTGATTGCGCGTCGAGGTCCCCAAGACACCCCCCCCAAAGAAAAACACAATTGACACTTAATTTTTGTTTAAGGTTTTTGGCATAATTTTGGCAACAACTTTATTCAAATTACAGCAATGTGAGTGGTTGCTTAGGCATTGGTAGCACTAACTGACCCCGCACGGGGACAGCTCTGACATTCGCACCCCCCACGAAGTCAGCAAGGGTAAGTCACCTGGGGAGAGAGACGGGACTGGGAACCATGCCCAGTGGCGTAGCGTGGGTTGTCAGCACCCGGGGCAAGGCAAGTAATTTGTGCCCCCTAACCCGTGGATTTGCGCCCCCTAACCTGTGGATTTGCGCCCCCTAACCCGTGGATTTGCCCTAACCCCAGATGTTGCGCCCGGTGCGGCCGGCCCCCCCTGCACCCCCCACGCTACGCCACTGACCATGCCTCACCTCTCCCCAGAATGCTCCCAGAGGCTTGCATGGCCCTAGCCCCTTGCCAGGGGGTTTCGGACAAAAGCATGGGGAGCCCCTGGGTTTCTTTAACGGAAAACCCTTGAAGCAGCAGCTGCAGCAGCATTTTGGAGGGGCAGGCACAGCTGAATCCATAACCCTCCACCAACCAATTCCAAGACCAATGCCTAACCGCAAACCTTACAAGTTGTGATGATTTGCTACGCAGTAGGCAAAAACCAAGTGGCACACACTAATCAGCCAAATGGACAAAATTCCTACCAGGCCCCTGCCCCAAAGCAGATGACCCCATGACAGGCATAGCAAGGTCAAGCAAACAGCCTAAAATTAGGGAAGGGAGGGCGGGTGATCCGAAGTAAGCAGCGAAAAGAGGAAGTTCCTCGCTGCAAGCATTGTGTTTAACAAATAGGGCTGTCAATCAACAAATGGCAACATCTAGATTTCCCCTGTAACAGCCTGCCCCTGCTTAAAGGATGGCCAAACCATTTGCCTAGTAACAGTGAGGTGTCTTGTCAGCCCCGCCCGCAACCTGTGCTCTCCATGAGGGAGAACACACTTCCCCGGACTGTCTGCGGGCTGGATTTAGAAGAGAATAGGGCCAGATCCGGGCCTTAGTTTGCCTACCCCTGCTCTATACCCTATTATTATTCTTGAAAATAAATAAAAATATACCAAAAAAGGTCTCAATTGATTTTCATAATTGAAATGTTTTGTAGTTGACTGACAGAGTAAATTCTGTAGACTGTAAATGGTCATGTAAAATCTATACTGCAGGTGAAAAAAGGAGCTAACTCAGGGCCAATTATGCCCCAGAACCAGGACTCCCACAGGTTAGCTCCTCCAGCAGCTCTAAGGAGGAGATGGATCCAGTCCGTCATCTGTCCTGTGACGCTTTTGTGGGCAATGGAGCCTCTCTCCTTCCCTGAGCTCAGAGGAGACCACCAGACTCTGATGAGCTCAAGAGAGCTCTGAGGAGAGATTGCCACACTTGGAAACCCCGATACCTTGAAGGAACCAATGATTGCAAAAGGTGACACTGCTGTGTAAGTGGCCTGGGGTGAGGCTACTGTCAATGACGACCTAGCTTTGCTGTAAAATGTAGCCATTTGCTTCAGGCTTAAGGTGTTGCCTTGAGCGAGTTGCTTCATCCTGCAGCGTATACGTTTTGGTTAATTTGTTTTGAGGGTTGGATATATAAAAAAACTTTTCAAACTAGCTGAGCAGTTCCACATGATGCCATTGTATAATGCAGTTTACCTTTAGCACAAAGCCCTGCTTCTAAGTCAAGCACTTCTGCAAGATTTCATTTGCCAGAACTTGCTTCTGTTTTGGAGGAAATGAGAAAGAAGAAAGGAAGAAGCCAGAAACAGTTCCTAACATATAGACATTTTCTTGGAACTGGAAATCCCAAGTACCAGATGGTGCCTCCTTTGCAAACTTGTGATTTACACAGATCCTGCAAAATATTTGAAAACCTGTCCAAAATTGAATGTAAATCATGTGCAATAGACTCTTCCTATCCCTAATCAGCCTGGATGACTTTTTCATCAATTTAATAGAGCCATATAGCCCTTAGGAAGATATTATTCTACTGCTAGTAGGAGACAATTTATTACGCCAGTGTATCTAAATATCTATGTGACAGCTGATTTTCCAGATAACCCACTATATAAATACAGCATGGATGCTGACTTTAAGAAAGGTATAATTCAGTCAGAGAAGCAGGTCTGATTACAACTCCAGGACCATTAATTAAATCACTTCTCTTCTTCGTTCGGGGGGGGGGATGCATTTTCAGCAATCCCCCTCCCTGCAGAACCCTGCAGAACCCTCTAAATATGCTCCAGCGATTTGAGGGAACTTCTGGAGCAGATTTAGAGAGAGCACAGGAAACTGCAGGGGAGAAGAGGACTGCTGGAGATTGCCTCTCTGAAGGGTTCTTCTCAAGGGTTCCCTTCCATTTGTGGACAGTCACTGATGGGTATCCCCCAGACAGTAGTTTGGTTCTTATAATAGGTGTACAGTGGTACCTCGGGTTAAGTACTTAATTCGTTCTGGAGGTCTGTTCTTAACCTGAAACTGTTCTTAACCTGAAGCACCACTTTAACTAATGGGGCCTCCTGCTGCCGCCGCGCCGCCACTGAATGATTTCTGTTCTCATCCTGAAGCAAAGTTCTTAACCCAAGGTAATATCTCTGGGTTAGCGGAGTCTGTAACCTGAAGCGTCTGTAGCTTGAAGCGTATGTAACCCAAGGTACCACTGTAATAGGAAATCAAAGGAAAAATGTCATTTCTTCCCAACAAAGTGGGGTAGGTTGTGCTTATAAAATTCTGAGTTGCCATGTTTGTCTTGATAATTAAGGGGGGGAGGCTAAAATATGTAAATATATTTAAATGACTAAACATTAGGAAGGACTTTCAACAGTGGAAAGGACTACCCTGGAAGGTGATGGACCTGTTGTCATTGGAGCTTTTTAAACAGAGGTTGGATGGCCATCTGTCAGGGATTCTTCAGCTGTGATTCCTGCCTTGCAAGGGGTTGGACTAGATGACCCTGAGGGTACCTTCCAACTCTACAGCTATGTTTCTATGATTCATAGAATCATTTGTAGATAGATTCTATGGAATTAATTAATGGATCAGATAAAAAAGTAGGGGATCAATCAATTGAAACACTTTAATTGATTGACAGTGTAAAAACAAAGAAACAGGGGAGTGGTATATATGCACACTTTCTGTAATGCCCCAGGGAAACATTGCTATTGTCTTTGTTGGGGCCTGTTCTTGAGTTCCTTTTCATTTTTCCTTGATCTTGTTTGCAAGGCAGTCAAGGGAGTCTGTCCTCTCTAACTGCCACATTCACCTCCCCAATTTCCCCTTTTAACCCTGCCCCTATCGCTGATCTTGCCTGTGTTTGAACATACCACACAAATCTGAAAAAAGATTCCCAAGAATTCATGAGTTGGATGTCTGGCATGCCACAGTTGGGACTGAAATGGAGGGGGTTTCAAATTGCACTTGCTTTACTCCCTAATTCTAAACCTAGCGATGGATCTTTCCATTCTGTGCTCCCCTCTGAGCAAAATTCAGAATGCAACAACAACTGAGAATCTCTGTTTCTCAGTGGAAAGAAGTGTCATCAAGTCAGAGGCAGCCGTTTGGTAAACTGGTAGAAGTTCACATTATGGCCATGTTTATTCTGCTCCGAAGTATTCATGTGAAAAAAAGGGGGAAATTGTTTTACTGTGCATTATATTTTGAAGTACTGTTCTAAAGATACCACATTTCACACTTGAAACCAACAGATTGTATCCAAAGCAGTGTTAAGTATCGTACCCTCAGTGCAAAGATTTCCATTTGAACAATGAGACTTTCCCCACCTTCCTTTTTCATTGCACCCCCTAATTCTAGTCTAGGGGTTCCCCCAACCTTCTGGAGCAGGGTTGGGGTGGGTGAGGAGTATGTGTGGTGGAAGGAGAGGGAGGAAAGTCTTGTTGCATAAGCAGAAATCCTTGTGCTGGTGGGACGTGTTTGAGGTTTTTTTGGCGTGTGA